GGTAGACCGGTATGGACCGGTATGGACCGGTAGACCGGTAGACCGGTCGATCCAAAACCCAGACCGGTAGACCGGTCGATCCAAAACCCAGACCGGTAGACCGGTCGATCCAAAACCCAGACCGGTACCGGACCGGACCGGACCGGACCGGACCGGACCGGCCGGTAACCGGTACCGGTTCCATCTCTGCTCTCCGGAACTCAACAAAAAGTACAAAAATCTTTGCAACATGGTGAAAAAATCAGCAAGGCAAGACAAGGACAAATGGATACAACAGCAAGCAAGCATACAATTTGGTAAAACTGTTAAAAAAGAAATACCTACCAAAATTAACAATCATAAGAAATCAAGATGGCACAATAGTAAAATCAAAAGCAGGTATAATGCAAAGATGAACACAGTACTGCAGTGAACTGTATGAAGGCAAAGTTGGTGGAGAAAAAATGATAAAAGAGCTTGAAAATATAACTCCTCCCTACGATAATATTCCAAATGGTATACTACTTGTTGAAATTGAAGATGCAATAAGCAAACTCAAGAAAAACAAAAGCCCAGAAACTGACGAGATCACAGCGGAAATGCTTCAAGCTGGAGGAGAACAACTCATACATAAAATTCACGAACTATGTAATAGAGCATGGAAAGAGGAAACAATTCCAGATGCATGGGGAAGATCAATCTTGATACCAATATTCAAGAAAGGAGACCTCAGCGAATGCTCGAATTACAGAACAATATCTGTAATCAATCACACGGGAAAAGTTCTGCTAATGGTGCTGCTAAACAGACTGAAGCATCAACTGGATCCACATTTATCAGAAGAACAGGCTGGATTCAGAAAAGACCGAAGCATAGTCCACCAAATTTTGATACTACGGCTTCTACCAGAAAAAGCAAAACGCAACGGTAAGAAAATTTACAACTGTTTTATCGATTTCCAAAAAGCTTTCGATACAATCAAACACAAAATCATATAGGCTGTTCTTAGATCGTATGGTGTTGACAAAAAAGTGGTCGTGTTACTAGAAAAAAATTATGGAAAATCTCGATCGGTAGTCCGAATAGGCATAAATATTGGCGAATGGTTCCAAGCAAGTGTTGGAACTAGACAAGGTGATCCCTTGCCACCGCTTCTTTTCATTGCATATTTATAAAGAATAATAATGGACAAAGTAACATAAAAAAACAATGGAATCAATGCCAATGGAACATTTGTCAACAATTTAAGATTTGCGGACGACATTGATCTCTTAAGTGAAAATCATATCGCACTTCAAGAACAAATTGACCAACTCACAAAAATAGCAGAAGAAGCAGGACTGGTGGTAAACACAAACAAAACAAAAACAATGGTGTTCGGTGATAAAAACATTGACAAACACATAAATATAAAAGGTAAAAATATCGAAAACGTGGAGGAGTTTGGATATCTGGGTAGTTTACTATCCTGGGACAACGACTGTTCAAGAGAAATAAAAAGAAGAATCAACAAAGCAATTGGCGCAATGGCAAGTTTAAAACATGTATAGGTGTGGGTGTGGGAGTGGATGTGGGTCAGGGTGGTGCAAGATTCTTCATCCTTCACACCCACACCCCACACCCATACCCACACCCACACCCACACCCTAGATTCATTTTACTTGATCACATGGATTGGATAGTGACAACACCAAATATTTTAGCTGAAGAATGGCTACAAATTCTGGATAATTCAACTGAAGATTGTCGTTACATTTGGAGAACTGCTTCACCCAACGCAATGTTTGTTGATAGTATTTCAATAACATATAAAGGAAAAGCAACTACATTAAATCAATTAATAACATACAAACAAAGTTTAGCAACTAAATTGCACAAAGTTGATAGAGTACATACTTATAATGCATTCTTTATTGCTCATCTTCATCATTGAATTTAACTTTTGATACAATTTTATAT